GGGGGGGGACACAGAGCGGACATCGTGAAAAGGTCACAGTTCACTTGCTTTAGGATCTGCTCAGTCTCCGAGTGAGGGAGACACATGCGAGTACATAGGCTAAGGGGCAAAGAGAAATTAAGATAAAGTGTGTAGTGGCTGCAGGATTAGCAGAGACTAGCAAATGAGAGAAAGACAGAGAACAGATACAGAGACTGTCCAATCTTTATTCGATGAAAATTTTTTTGACAGACACACAGAAATAGACCGCTTAATAGATAGATAGAGAGAAAGATAAATATACAAATTTTCCGATTAGAGGCAAAGAAGGTGCAAGTACATAAAACTTGCACGAGGAATAAAGAAACAATGAGAGGATGTAAGTGACAAAAGAGTGAATAAGCCAGCCCTTCATGGGGTGGGGATGGGGGTGGGGGGTTAATTGAGAGGGTCTTTTTTCTTCAGAGAAAAGAGTGAGTGAGGAATACCTGGGTAGCAAAGTGAACGGTGCCTCACGCGGAGAATTATATGATATCATTGTCACATCATGAGAATAACAAGGGATTACAGTAACAATATCAGTACACAAAGACTTCCAAAGAAATAATACGATATTTATACCGAGCCACAAAAAGAATAAACGGTGCAACAACTACGACTTAGATTATTGTGATAATGGTCTCATACACAAACATTCTTAGACTAACATTTATAATTCACGATCTCTCTATTCTTGTGTAGATTCATCCACAACAACACAGATTAAGTCCGATGGGAATGCAAAATAATGGATGGATTTCTTTCCTTTAAAAAACATAATTTAAGAAGACTTTTTCATGTGCTTTTGTCTTGAGGGTCCTATTACTCATGATGACCATATTATTGTCTCTTTAACCTATGTTTCCGCATTATTTCTATTATCGTTCAAAATGGACAACAGCACACGTTTACATATATTATCACAGTTGGAAAGATATGCACATGCAGCAACTTTATACATCAGTTCTAATATTTTACCACTATTTACAGATTGAAGAGAGAAGTCAAGTGACTTGTCATTGTATATTATTCTTCGATTAATCTGACTTAAAATGATTCCATCTCTGGACGTTACCAGTTAAAAATAAGCACACCCTCATTATCTTTCAAAAAGATATTAAAGAACACCATTGAAGCAGTCTCTCAAAATATTTTCGTCTTGATGTTATTGGACACATATATTCAGACAAGAATTTTATCTCTTTTGGGTTTTTTTTGGTATATTAACTTGGATGGGGCATAGTGCCCTGAAATAATGAACTTAAAATGTACTTTTACGATTAGCCACTGTAAAACATACACTCATACAACATAAAACTCTGTTTATGACTTTTGGAGAACTAGTCTGCGACACACTGCTCTCATCGTTCATCGGTTTTGTGGCTCGGTATATTTACCATGTAGGAAGAAGGATGAGAGGAGAGGGTGGAGGAGGGCCCGTCCCGCTCGCCCACGCTATTCCCTGCACGCATTTCGATTTTCTGCAAAAGAGGAGGGAAAATCTGAGAATGGCATGGAATGATCAGTGAATAATTTCAACACAACGCCATCAATTTCCCCACAACAATGAATATGTTTATCGAATTCTGCAACAATACCAGTCACAGCAATGATAAGATAATGAAAGGAACAATGGAATACTTGACACTCACGTCTGCAAACTGCAAAGGCTGGTGTATGTTTATGACAGCACGTGCAGGAGACGCATGACAGACGAGGATGAGAACGCTTTTATGCAGAGAAAGGACAGAAAGAAAAATGTTGGGCTGAGTAAGCGCTCACACGGACACATATACACACGCACACACAGATATATAGACAGACATACACAGAGGAGGTGAGAGAGAAAGAAGAGAGAGAGAGAGAGAAAGAGAGAGAGAGTGAGTGAGTGAGTGAGTGAGTGAGAGAGAGAAAGAGAGAGAAAGAGAGAGAAAGAG